CCTTCCTTCCTTCCTTCCTTCCTTCCTTCCTTCCTGATGCAGTGATTAGAATGCAGTATTGCAGGCTAACTCTGCCAACTGCCAGCAGTTGAAGCCTGTCCGACTCAAGGTTGATTCACCCTTCCATCCTTCTGAGGTGGGTAAAATGAGGACCCAGATTGTTGGGGGCAAGAGGCTGATTCTGTAAACCGCTTAGAGAGGGGCTGAAAAGCACTGTGAAGCGGTATATAAGTCTAAGGGCTATTGCTCTTCCTTTTTCTCCATAAGCAGAAATCCAGCATGTGGTAAGAGAAGCTACCTTTCTTCCTGCATACAATAAACAGGCCGTCCTCCACTTATGACCACAACTGACCCCCCCCCGTTTCTTTTTATCGAGCGAGACAGTGAGTTTTGTCCCATTTTGTGACCGTTCTTGCCACGGTTGTTAAGAGAATACCCGTAGTTGTTAAGTGAGTAACACGGCTGTAAAGTGAATCTGGCTTCCCCCATTGACTCGGCTTGTCAGAAGGTCGCCAAAGGGGAATCGGGGGATCCTAAGCCACAGGAACCGTCACAAAGAGGAGTCGGTTGCCGAGCGTCCGAATTTTGATTACATGACCATGGGGGGGTGGTACTGCAGGGCTGGGCTGCTGGGCGTTCGCAGGGGTTCGGGGACAGACCCCTAGCTAAGATTTTGCACAGTTTGGAGAACCCCCAAATCCCACTCCTGACTGGCCTCGCCCACCCCGCCCCTCCCCCACTCCCAGGAGTCCTCACGCAGCCCGTTTTGGGTGCAGGTGAGTGCAGGGCGCGAATGGAGGCTCAGGGAGGGTGAAAAATGGGGTCCTGGAAGTTCCGGGAGGCCAGAAATAGGTCCGTTTCTGGCTTCCAAAGAGCCTCCGGAGTCCGGAGAGGGCAAAAGCAACCCCCCCCATGGTACAGGAGGCCGTTTAGGCCACGCCCACCATAGCCACACCCACCCAGCATCCGGATAGAGAACCCGTTGCTAAAACTTTTGAAGGCAACCCCTGGGCCTAAGTGTGAACAATGGTCGTAAGTGACATTTTTTTCAGTACCGTTGTAACTTTGAACGGTCATTAAATGAGCTGTTTTAACATTAGCAATCAGAGAGCAAGAGGAGAAAGAATACTTTTAAGATATGGGATTTATTTTACCAATGGTTAGATAGAAAAGCAGGACATTGAAGTATAATACAATAACAATGACATGTTATCATTGATTATTTTGGAATGAATTATAATATGAATTAAAATGAGTAAGAACTGAGATTTGCTCAAAAGGATAATGTGGATCTGAAATTAAAGTCTAATGATGATGTAATAATGATAATATAACATGACATGGAAAGTTGATTAATGTAATATGAATGTGAATTTAAATCTAAGAGGAAAAGACGATAGATATTGTGCACAACAAATATGTACCAACTGACACACTGTATAATTGAAAGAAGGTTTTGTTGTTTTATGTTTATGTTTGTCCATGTTTGTTGTTAAAAAAAACTTTTTTATAAAAAAAAATTGAGCTCTTTTTAAATTGAGGAAGGCATTACATAAAGCCAATATCCTGATCAGTTCATCTGAATTTATGAACCCAACCCTTGGTATCAATCCCAAACCCAGTTCAGTTTGTGAAAAGGTGGTTTTATTCTGTTTTACAATATCTATTTTATTAGGAAGCTTTCTAAGCACCTAACAGAAGCCATTCATCCACCTTCTATTTAGATAATAAAGCAACTCTCCTCTAAGAGAGGAAATTTGGAGTGATTTAGCGTCTATCCCTCCAAAGAGGGGGGAAAAATACACCTTAATGGCTGTCAGATTTTAATGGCTTGATGGGCCGCTAGAATTATGCTGTCGTGAAATTGAACTAACCAAACTTTAATCTTAATCATCTGCTGATATTGACACCACTGGGTTTTTTTTTCCATATGGAGTTTTCAAAAGTCCTGTCCTTCCTTTTCAAAAAGGAGGGGGAAAGGGAGAGCAGACGATAAGTTGTCTGCTTGTCTATCATTTATGTCTATCTGTCTCTATCATTCTATCTATCATTCTCTCTGTTTCATCTATTCATACATCATCATCTATCATCTATCACCTATCCATCTATATCATCTATTGTATATAGCTATCTGTATAATTAGTCTATTATTTTTTATCTCTATATCATATATCATTATCTATTATCTATCCATCTATATCATCTATTATTGTATATAGCTAACTATACAGCAATAGCACTTAGACTTATATACTGCTGCACAGTGCTTTACAGCCTTCTCTATGCGGTTTACAAAGTCATTGTATTGCCCCCAAATAATCTGGGTTGTCATTTTATATATATAATGATATAATTATCATTCTATTATCTTTCATTTTATCTATTTCTATAATCTATCTATCTATCTATCTATCTATCTATCTATCTATCTATCTATCATATATTAGTGGTACTAATACCACTATAAAGCCTTAGTAAGACCTCACTTGGTATACTGCATCCAGTTTTGGTCCCTACACTATAAAAATGATATTGAGACTCTAGAAAAAGTGCAGAGAAGAATAACCTGGAGGATTAGGGGACTGGAGGCTAAAACATGTGAAGAACGGTTGCAGGTAGAGTCTAGGGAAGAGAAGGACCAGGGGAGACAGGAGAGCAGTCTTCCAATATTGGAGTGACTGCCACAAAGAGGAGGGGTGGTGGTGGTCAAGCTATTTTCCAAGACACCCAAAGGCCAGACAAGGAATAATGATGGAAACTGATCCAGGAGAGATTCAACCTGGAAATAAGGAGAAATTTTCTGATAGAACAATCAACCCACGGAACAGAACTTGCCTTTGGAAGTTGTAGGAGCTTCATCACTGGAGGCTTTCAAGAAGAGCCTGG